GATATTATTTCTTTTCCCATGGCTGAAGACGACTGAGGAATGAATCATTCGAAACTTTCGCTTAACTACAGCAAATATGCATAAGTTTCTGAAAAAATCTTTTAGATGTATAAAAACTATCGCTGATGGGTAAAAAATGGCGATACTCACCTAACTTTACACGCAACTTAATTTTTGTACCATTACTTGAGATAATTATAAAGGAAATTATTTCTGTAACGATATTTATCATAAATAAGATAAAATATTTACTTGATGGTTACAATGGACAGCAGAGATAGGTTTGGAAGAACGTCTAGAAACCTTAATCGAGGCTTATATTATAATTATAAGAAAATATTATATTATAAGAAAATGTATAGACCTCAATCCCGGAAAATGAAGATAAAATGCTGGAATGTGAGGAATGCTATGGAATAAGAATTCTGAACAAATCAGCGTATATATTATGCCCTGGGACCAGTTTAGCAAGCTTAGCATAGAAATAAATAAGACATAGTAGCCAGTAATAAAGAAAGAAAGACAACCGACAGCAAGGCTTAAACTGCTGCAGCAGCTGTGATGTAACATCCATGAGTGCAGACAAGCATAAAAATAACCGGACGCTGGTTTAGCGAGTTCGGGAACGTAGTAATTGTGAGTGTAAACTTGGACTCAGTAGAAGCAGGTCAAGCAATAACTAAGCAAGAAAAAGACGATACATCACTAGGTATGGATGTAGGAATGAGAACAATATGACTCCGAAGATTAAATAAAGGTTTTGGTTTGAAATTTACTGATGTTTACACCGATTGACCCGTTTTAAAAGATGGAGGACACAACGATCGAAACTTTGTTCTAACAGCGGCAAAGTTGAGGACGATAGTCCAAGCGTAAATAAGTTATTTTAAAATATATAACAAACTGGATGTTTAAGAAAAAGGACACTTAATTGAATAATAATCTGATAAACGTTTCTTTATCACGCAGTTTTGTTTTAGACACTAATCCCCAGTTATAGTCAGATGTTTTCAATAATAGTAAATTTGCCGATTAATCCTTCATTATTAATAGGGAAGTTTTAACTTTTTTATAATTCATAGTGTTTAGTACACACGGCCTCGTCTGTAATTCTTAGAATACGGCGTCTGCATCATTTGCAGATTGGTAGGACCCCTCAATAGTTACCACCTACCAATAAATGCTTAAAGATTCAAATATAAATCAGCTGTAATTACCTATTATGGAACCAAGTAAATGTTTACAGAATCAAATATAAACCACTAATAGTTAATTATATCCGAACCAAGCTGGCACAAATATATTAAAACAGATTAATTTCTACATTAAACATATTAAAGTGTGCTGACATTTGTAAATTCAACCATTTTATGAAGCACATTCCAGAAACTGTTATAGAAAAACATATCATATAAAACATTGAATTACAAACGGATCATCTAATCCCTGCTAGGCGACAAGATTTATTTACCATAACCAAACACAATAAACGAAAGCAATAATAGCCAATAAGACTTCATTGAATATGTCCATCCTAGTGATTCTCTAACTTCTGGTTCTAAAAGATGAATGCCTATTCAGGTTGCTGCAGATATATATATATATATATATATATATATATATATATATATATATATATATATATATATATAATATAAAATAAGATAAAATAATCAAACTAGCGATTGCCAGTGGCCTGCTCGGTATCAATTTTTTCTTTCTGTAGACATGGCTGCAGGCAATTATACGTGTTTCCCGATAGATTTCAGACGGAAGAAAAATAGGTTGGCTGTGCTATTACAGTTTTGAAAATAATACACCCATGTGCAAATAATTGAAACAAAACTTATAATTCCGTTCTTATTTACTTTTTTCGTATGTTTTCCAATGAAACATGACCAAGTGCATATGTTAGTATTTCGTCTGTTCATTCGACGAAGTTGTTTCTGGCAGAATGACCACAGATTCTCGATTGGATTTACATCAGGAGTTTCCGGGCCAGTCTATAGTACTTGATTTGCTCACTGGTAAGGCTTGCCAGTGTGTTAGTGCAGCGATACAATTTGTGTAAGTTTCCTTGGAGTAACGGCCATTGCAGACAATGGTCATATGGCAACTAATCGACACTCTAATACAACTTATATAATCTTAATGCTGCCCATCCAAAGTGTTAATTTTAAATTCATTTTTTCGTTTCGTCTTTGAAAGTAAAGTCTGAGGATCCAGAGGAAAATATAAATTCTCTGGTGAAATAAATTATTACTATGGAGCCTTAAAGTAGTATGTTTTTAAATTAAATTATATATATATATATATATATATATATATATATATATATATATATATATATATATATATATATATATAAATGTGAAAATAATTGCTTAAACTAACTAATCATACAGTTCGACCAGATTATTTCTGAAACCTTTCGAAGGAAAGAAACGAAAATAAAATAGTTTCGAGTGACACGCATAACTACAGAAAATCTTTAAAAGTGAATTGAGCATAACAATGGGCAGACAAAACCCAAACAAATTATCAAATGTTGACTGACGTTGAACTGTGGACAGCTTAGGATTATCCAGTAACAAACAAACGCAAATTCCAAGTTATCCTCTGATCACAGACAGTTATTTCGACCAATAAGTTTTAGCACCCCAAGCCAAGAATAATTGAAAGAAAATGAAGATGATTAAAAACATTATATTACTATATAGAGGCCCCTAAATTTGGAGATTTTATACTGGTGGGTGTAAAATAATGTTTGAATTTCATACTAGATGATATATGGTATAAGTGTATTGTGAAAAGATATTGAAAGGGATGTCGAATAATCGAATCTGGAAAAAAGAAAAAAAAATCAACGAGAAAAGGAAAAGAACAATGATGTAAAAAAATAAAAAAAAATAAATCGGAAATAATATGTAATCAACAAAAACTGGAATACATGAGGAAGTTATAGGAATAAATTGAATAAAGAAAAACTAAAATTGACCGAGAAGAAATAATTCTTAATGAAAAGAATAAAGCAAACAAAAAGGTGTAGAAGATTAGGAAAATTCAAACGAATAATACGAAAAGGCAAAGACAGAAAGAAGCAAAAAAAGAAGAAAAACGAATGGAGCATTACAGTCTTTGTTCATGTTATTAGCTTGAAGAAGAGAGAAAATTAAGATGTCATATTTTATTCAATTTCACATATCTCGAAAAACTGCATTTGTCTATTTTTTGCCGTTTCCCCAATGTTACTTATATTCTACAATAGTTGCAATATGCATTGCTCGATATATTCACTTTGTATGCGACAAATAATGGCATTATAATCTAAAATGTTATAAACAAATGTAACTAAATTCAGGGAAGGAGGACTAGTATCGTATCGGAGATTCACTATCCTTTCAAAGTGCTCCATTCTCTCTCAATAACTGTCCACAGATGTATAGTATATGCAGGATGAATAAAAAAACCTCTTCCCTATGTCTCTTAAATGCTAAATTGAACTCATCTTAGGCGACCATGTTGACCACTGCTTTCGTTAGAAGTTTCTATATCGTTCCTCAAAGCAGTTATGCGCAACTTAACACAAGGAATCGGTGCAGTACACTTTTAGAAGAAACATCTTTGTTAGGTTAAATGAATTGGTTCAAATGGAAAATCAATATTGCAATAAAGCCTAGCCAGTAAATGATCTGGTTAGGTTAAGCCCCAGGTGCAAGACATGCCCTTATGGAACAATAACCAGATTACTCGATGCCTTGTTGACATCTTTAGTCATTGGCTTTATGAGTTCTGCCCCTGAGACAAACTCTTACCATGAATTTAAAGAAAGGGAACGGTAACTCACTGTACTACACCAATAGTTGCCTCTCATCAAATGTCCTACGTTAGGCGATGTGTTCAGTGTCATGGGGTTAACAGGGCCACCCTGGTGGCTCTTCTGTTATACTACCTCATTGAAAAAAAAGAAATGCTGAACAGATCTTCGGAATATATGTCTTGAACTTTCTGCATTGAATGCGCATGTGATTGTTTTCTTATAAACATTTCACTTCATAAATGCTGATAGAGCCACTAAGATGCAAGAAGATTACCGTGAATGAAGGCAAGTTATCAAGGAGAAAGGGCAATAAAAGAATAGGATTCAAGGAGATAGAAAATGGCAAATGACGTTGCATTTTGACTTTTGAAGTTTGTAGGTGACAGGAAATCAAAAATTTGAAAGTGTTCCTCAAACTAGAGAAGAAAATATTAGCATAGAACTTAAAGTTAAAAATTTCAAAACTAAAATAAGGAGACTTAACTGATAATCTAGTAGACGCTTAAATTTATGAAGTCGATAATAAGAACAATTGTCTTGAAAATATTTATAGGAATGTCACAGCAAAGCTACGTTATGGCAATGGGAGAGGGATTGAAACGAAGATGCCATGTTAGGAAGGAAATCACTCTATTTTGGATTTTGTCTAGAATTACGAGATACGGAGCAGAAGAACCAAACCAGATGTGAGAACGATATTTTATACACGGATGAATGCTAGACTTATAAAGATGCAAACAAGCGTCTACCACGACACACAAATTAGGCAACAGATGTAGAAAATAATTCACTATAATCGTTCCAACGTATATCAGTGGAAGACGTTAAATCAAGAAGGTTCAAAATGTGCTAATCTCTTTGAGATTACCATCACCAATAATGGCGAAAGGCAAAATAAGATTCTCTAAGACGAATAAAAGAGGTAATTCAAATTTGAAGGTGTTAAAATAAAACATCCATTTCTTGCTTCATTTAACAAGAAATTGAGGTTCACGATGCGAATTTACCATAATATTTTTTAAATCTTTAAGTAATTTCCCTTATATAAACAATCTATTGATGATTTTTTACTAGCATAAATTTGGGATTTTTCTTTAATTTTGTGACTCTGTTTTAAATCAAAATTGAGTGGTTAATATTTTAAAATAAAGGTCCATTGTATTTTAACTAATTGAACCAGCCATTCCCACCTCTACCACCTTTTAAATTTGCAATTTCTTCCTCATTCTCGTTCCCCACTGACATTTTTCTTTTCTTTTTCTTTGACTTTATTTTTCTCTCTTCCTCTTCTTTTATTCCTTTACTCACTTCCTCTTCTTTTATTGCTTTACTCACTATCTTTTCTTTTATTCCTTTAATCTCTTCCACATTTTTATTCCTTTACTCATTTCTTCTTTTATTCCTTTACTCATTTTTTTATTCCTTTACTCACTTCCTCTTCTTTTATTCCTTTACTCTCTTCCTCTTCTTTTATTACTTTACTCACTTCCTCTTCTTTTTTCCTTTGCTCACTTTCTTTTCTTTTATTCCTTTACTCACTTCCTCTTCTTTTATTCCTTTACTCTCTTCCTCTTCTTTTATTCCTTTACTCTCTTCCTCTTCTTTTATTTCTTCCCTCACTTCCTCTTCTTTTATTTTTTTACTCACTTCCTCTTCTTTTATTCTTTTACTCACTTCCTCTTCATTTATTCCTTTACTCTCTTCCTCTTCTTTTATTCCTTTACTCTCTTCCTCTTCTTTTATTCCTTTACTCACTTTCTCTTCTTTTATTCCTTTACTCACTTCCTCTTCTTTTATTACTTTACTCATTTTCTTTTCTTTTATTCCTTTACTCACTTTCTCTTCTTTTATTCCTTTAAACACTTCCTCCTCTTTTATTCCTTTACTCACTTACTCTTCTTTTATACCCTTACTCTCTTCCTCGTCTTTTATTCCTTTACTCACTTACTCTTCTTTTATTCCTTTACTCACTTCCTCTTCTTTTATTCCTTTACTCTCTTCCTCTTCTTTTATTTCTTTACTCAATTCCTCTTCATGTATTCCTTTACTCTCTTCCTCATCTTTTATTCCTTTACTCTCTGCCTCTTTTTATTCCTCTACTTTTCTTCTTTTTATTCCTTTACTCATTTTTTTCTTTTTTTCTTCCTTTACTCATTCTTTCTCTTCCTTTTTTTATTCCTTTACTCTCTTCCTCTTCTTTTATTCCTTTACTCTTCTTTTTATTCCTTTACTCTTCTTTTATTATTCCCTTTCCTTTTTATTCTCTCTTCCTCTTCTTTTATTCCTTTACTCTCTTCCTCTTCTTTTATTTCTTTTACTCTTCCTCTTCATTTATTCCTTTACTCTCTTCCTCATCTTTTATTCCTTTACTCTCTGCCTCTTTTATTCCTCTACTCACTTTCTCTTCTTTTTATTCCTTTACTCACATTCTATTCTTTTATTGCTTTACTCTCTCTCTTCCTTCTTCTTTTCTCTTCTTCTTTTTTTTTGTCTCTTCTCTCTTCCTTTATTTATTCCTTTACTCACTTCCTCTACTTTTATTCCTTTACTCACTTCCTCTTCTTTTATTCCTTTACTCACTTCCTCTTCTTTTATTCCTTTACCCATTCCTCTTCTTTTATTTCTTCCCTCACTTCCTCTTCTTTTATTTCTTTACTCTCTTCCTCTTCATGTATTCCTTTACTCTCTTCCTCATCTTTTATTCCTTTACTCTCTGCCTCTTTTTATTCCTCTACTCACTTTCTCTTCTATTATTCCTTTACTCACATTCTAATCTTTTTTGCTTTACTCTCTTCCTCTCCTTTTATTCCTTTACTCTCTTCCTCATCTTTTATTCCTTTACTCTCTTCCTCTTCTTTTATTCCTTTACTCACTTCCTCTTCTTTTATTCCTTTACTCACATCCTCTTCTTTTATTCCTTTACTCTCTTCCTCTTCTTTTATTCCTTTACTCACTTCCTCTTCTTTTATTCCTTTACTCACTTCCTCTTCTTTTATTCTTTTACTCACTTCCTCTTCATTTATTCCTTTACTCTTTTCCTCTTCTTTTATTCCTTTACTCTCTTCCTCTTCTTTTATTCCTTTACTCACTTCCTCTTCTTTTATTCCTTTACTCATTTCCTCTTCTTTTATTCCTTTACTTACTTTCTTTTCTTTTTATTCCTTTACTCTCTTCCTCTTCTTTTATTTCTTTACTCACTTCGTCTTCTTTTATTCATTTACTTTATTCCTCTTCTTTTATTCCATTACTCTCTTCCTCTCCTTTTATTCCTTTAGCTCTTCCTCATCTTTTATTCCTTTACTCTCTTCCTCTTCTTTTATTCCTTTACTCACTTTCTCATCTTTTATTCCTTTACTCACTTCTTCTTCTTTTATTCATTTACTCACTTCCTCTTCTTTTATTCCTTTACTCTCTTCCTCTACTTTTATTCCTTTACTCTCTTCCGCTTCTCTTATTCCTTTACTCACTTCCTCTTCTTTTATTCCTTTACTCTCTTCCCCTTCTTTTATTCCTTTACTCTCTTCCGCTTCTCTTATTCCTTTACTCACTTCCTCTTCTTTTATTCCTTTACTCTATTCCTCTTCTTTTATTCCTTTACTCTCTTCCTCTCCTTTTATTCCTTTAGCTCTTCCTCATCTTTTATTCCTTTACTCTCTTCCTCTTCTTTTATTCCTTTACTCACTTCCTCATCTTTTATTCCTTTACTCACTTCCTCTTCTTTTATTCATTTACTCATTTCCTCTTCTTTTATTCCTTTACTCTCTTCCTCTTCTTTTATTCCTTTACTCTCTTCCGCTTCTCTTATTCCTTTACTCACTTCCTCTTCTTTTATTCCTTTACTCTCTTCCTCTTCTTTTATTTCTTTACTCTCTCCTCTTCTTTTATTCCTTTACTCACTTACTCTTCTTTTATTCCCTTACTCTCTTCCTGGTCTTTTATTCCTTTCCTCACTGACTCTTCTTTCATTCCTTTACTCTCTTCCTCTTCTTTTATTCCTTTACTCACTTCCTTTTCTTTTATTTCTTCCCTCACTTCCTTTTCTTTTATTCCTTTACTCTCTTCCACTTCTTTTATTCGTTTACTCACTTCCTCTTCTTTTATTCCTTTACTCACTTCCACTTCTTTTATTCCTTTACTCACTTCCTCTTCTTTTATTCCTTTCCCCACTTCCACTTCTTTTATTTCTTTACTGTCTTCCTCTTATTTATTCCTTTATTCTCTTCCTCTTCTTTTATGCCTTTATTCTCTTCCTCTTCTTTATTCCTTTATTCTCTTCCTCTTCTTTTTTTCCTTTACTCCCTTCCTCTTCTTTTATTCCTTCTCTCTTCCTCTTTTTTTTTTCCTTTCTTCTTTTTTCCTCTCTTCTTTATTCCTTTTCCTTTATTCTCTTTCTTTTCTTTTATTCCTTTACTCTTCTTTTTCTTCCTTTTATTCCTTTATTCACTTTCTTTATCTTTTATTCCTTTACTCTCTTCCTCTTCTTTTTATTCCTTTCCATTCACTTCATCTTCTTTTTTATTCCTTTTCGTCTTCCTCTTCTTTTATTCCTTTCCTCTCTTCCCGTCTTCTTTTATTCCTTTTCGACTCTCTCCTCTTCTTTTATTCCTTTCTCTCTTCCTCTCCTTTTACTTCTCCTTTATCTCCTTTTATTCCTTTACTCTCTCCTTTCTTTTGTTCCTTTAATCCTTTCCTCTTCTTTTATTTCTTTCACTTCCTCTACTTCCTTCCTTTTTATTCCTTTTATTCACCTCTTTATCTTCTTTTATTCCTTTAATCTTTTCCTCTTCTTTTATTCCTTTACTCACTTCCTCTACTTTTATTCCATTACTCACTTCCTCTTCTTTTATTCCTTTACTCTCTTCCTCTTCTTTTATTCCTTTACTCACTTTCTTTTCTTTTATTCCTTTACTCTCTTCCTCTTCTTTTATTCCTTTTACTCTCTTCTCTTCCTCTTCTTTCCTCTTCTTTTTATTTCTTTACTCACTTCCTCTTCTTTTATTCCTTTACTTCTTCCTCTTCTTTTCCTTCCTCTTTTTTTATTTCTTTTACTCTCTCCTCTTCTTTTATTTCTTTTTACTCTTTTTCTTCTTTTATTCCTTTCCTCTCTCCTTTCTTTCTTCCTTCCTCTTCTTTTATTTCTTTTTTACCTTCTCTTCCTCTTCTTTTATTTCTTTACTCACTTCCTCTTCTTTTATTCCTTTACTCACTTCTCTCTTTTTTTTTATTCCTTTATTCACTTCCTCTTCTTTTATTCCTTTTACTCTCACTTCCTCTTCTTTTATTCCTTTTCTCACTTCTCTCCTTTTATTCCTTTACTCTCTCCTATCTTTTTATTCCTTCTCTCTTCTTTTATTCCTTTTCCCTTCCTCTTCTTTTTATTCCTTTACTCTCTTCCTCTTTTTTATTCCTTTACTCAATTCCTCTTCTTTTATTCCTTTACTCACTTCCTCTTCTTTTATTTCTTTCCTCCTTTTCCTCTTCTTTTTTTTCCTTTACTCACTTCCCTCTTCTTTTTATTCCTTTCATTCTCTACTCTTCTTTTATTCCTTTTAATTCTCTTCCTCTTTTTTATTCCTTTTACTCACTTCCTCTTCTTTTATTCCTTTACTTTCCTCTTCCTTTTTATTCTTTTATTCTTTCCTCACTTCCTCTTCTTTTATTCCTTTATTCACTTCCTCTTCTTTTATTCCTTTACTCTTCTTCCTCTTCTTTTATTCCTTTCCTCATTTCCTTTCTTTTATTCCTTTACTCTCTTCCTCTTCTTTTTTTTTTTCCTCATGTCCTATTTTATTCCTTTCCTCCCTCTTCTTTTATTTTTCCTCTCTTCCTCTTCTTTTATTCCTTTACTCATTCCTCTCCTTTTATTCCTTCTACTCTTCCTCTTCTTTTATTCCTTTATTCTCTTTCCTCTTCTTTTTATTCCTTTATTCTTTCCTCTTCTTTTATTCCTTTACTCTCTTCCTTTTCTTTTATTCCTTTATTCTCTTTTCTTTCTTTTATTCCTTTAAACTCACTTCCTCTTCTTTTTATTTCCTTTTCTTCTCTTCCTCTTCTTTTATTCTTTTATTCCTTTCCTCCTTCTTTTATTCCTTTACTCTCTTCCTCTTCTTTTATTTCTTCTTTTATTCCTTTCCTCTTCTTTTCTTTTATTTTCTCTCTTCCTCTTCTTTTATTCCTTTACTCTCTTCTCTTCTTTTATTCCTTTCCTCATTCCTCTTCTTTTATTCCTTTACTTCTCTCCCTTTTCTTTTATTTCTTTCCTCTATTCCTCTTTTTTTTCTTCCTTTCACTCTCTTCTTCTTCTTATTTCCTTTTATTCTCTCACTTCCTCTTCTTTTATTCCTTTACTCTTATTCCTCTTCTTTTATTCCTTTACTCTTTCCTCTTCTTTTATTCATTTACTCTCTTCCTCTTCTTTTTTTATTCCTTTTACTCACTTCCTCTTCTTTTTATTCCTTTACTCTTCCTCTTCTTTTATTCCTTTATCTCTTCCTCTTCTTTTATTTCTTTTCTTTTTCTTTTATTCTTTTTCTTTCTTATTCTTCTCCCTCATTTATTTTATTCTTTTTCTTTATCTTTCCTTTGTTCTTTACTTTCTTCTTTTCTTTTTCCCTCTCACTTCCTCTTCTTTTATTCCTTTACTCTCTTCCTCTTCTTTTATTCCTTTACTCTCTTCCTTTCTTTTATTTCTTTCCTCACTTCCTTTCTTTTATTCCTTTTCTCTCTTCCTCTTCTTTTATTCCTTTTTTCTCTTCCTCTTCTTTTATTCCTTTACTCTTTCCTTCTTTTTATTCCTTCTCACTTCCTCTTCTTTTATTCCTTTATTCACTTCCTCTCTTTTATTCCTTTACTCCACTTCCTCTTTCTTTATTCCTTTACTTTATCTTCCTCTTCTTTTATTTCTTTACTCACTTCCTCTTCTTTTATTCTTTTCTCTTCCTCTTCTTTTTTTCCTTTACTCACTTCCTCTTCTTTTATTCCTTTACTCTCTTCCTCTTCTTTTTATTCCTTTCTCTTCCTCCTCTTTTCTTTTCCTTCCTCTTCTTTTTTCCTTCCTCTTCTTTTTTTTTCCTTTCTCTCTTCCTCTTCTTTTATTCCTTTACTCTCTTCCTCTTTTTTTTTTATTCCTTTCTTTTTTCTTTTCCTCTTCTTTTATTCCTTTACTCACTTCCTCTTCTTTTTATTTTTCCTCTTTCCTCTTCTTTTATTCCTTTACTCACTTCCTCTTTTTTCCTTTTCTTTCCTTTATTCTCTTCTTCCTCTTCTTTTATTCCTTTACTCTTCCTCTTCTTTTATTCCTTTACTCCTTTCTTCTCTTCTTTTATTCCTTTCTTTCCTCTTCTTTTATTCCTTTTCTTTTCTTTCTTTTATTTCTTTCCTCTTTCCTCTTCTTTTATTCCTTTTTCTCTTCCTCTTCTTTTTATTCCTTTACTCTTCCTCTTCTTTTATTCCTTTACTCTCTTCCTCTTCTTTTATTCCTTTTCCTCACTTCCTCTTCTTTTATTCCTTTCCCATTTCCTCTTCTTTTATTCCTTTACTCTCTCCTCTTCTTTTATTCCTTTACTCACTTCCTCTTCTTTTTTTTATTCCTTTATTCTCTTCCTCTTCTTTTTTATTCCTTTACTCTTCCTCTTCTTTTATTCCTTTTTTCCTTCCTCTTCTTTTATTCCTTTACTCTCTTCCTCTTCTTTTATTCCTTTTCCTCATTCTTCCTCTTCTTTTATTCCTTTCCTCTCTTCCTCTTCTTTTTTCCTTTACTCACTTCCTCTTCTTTTATTCCTTTATTCTCTTCCTCTTCTTTTATTTTTTTTTCACTTCTTCCTCTTTCTTTTATTCCTTTTCTTCTTCCTCTTCTTTTATTCCTCTTCCTCTTCTCCTCTTTTATTCCTTTACTCACTTCCTCTTCTTTTATTCCTTTACTCTCTCTTCCTCTTTTTTTCCTTTTATTCTTCTTTTATTCCTTTACTCTCTTCCTCTTCTTTTATTCCTTCTCTCCCTTCTTCTTTTATTCCTTTTCTCTTCCTCTTCTTTTATTCCTTTACTCTCTCCTCTTCTTTTATTCCTTTACTCTTTTCCTCTTCTTTTATTCCTTTTACTCCTTCCTCTTCTTTTATTCCTTTCTCTTCTTCCTTTTTTCCTTTCTCTTCCTCTTCTTTTTTTATTTTTCACTCCTCTTCTTTTATTTTTTACTCTCTTCCTCTTCTTTTATTCTTTCTCTTTTCTCTTCTTTTATTCCTTTCTCACTTTTCTTTTCTTTTATTCCTTTACTCTCTTCCTCTTCTTTTATTCCTTTTTTCTCTTCTTTTATTTTTTCTTCTCTCTTTTTCTCCTTTACTCTCTTCCCTTTCTTATTTCTTTTACTCTCTTCCTCTTCTTTTTCTTCTTTTACTCACTTTCTTTCTTTTATTCCTTTACTCTCCTCCTCTCTTTTATTCCTTTAAACTCTTCCTTTTCTTTTTTTCCTTTACTCTCTTCCTCTTCTTTTATTCCTTCTCTTTTTCTCTTCATTTTTCTTTATTTTTCCTCTTCTTTTATTCCTTTACTCTCTTCCTTTCTTTTATTTTTTCTTCTCCTCTTCTTTTATTCCTTTACTCACTTCCTCTTCTTTTATTCTTTTACTCACTTCCTCTTCTTTTTATTCCTTTACTCTCTTCCTCTTCTTTTATTCCTTTACTCTCTTTCTCTTCTTTTTATTCCTTTACTCTCTTCTCTTCTTTTTGTTCCTTTACTCCTCTTCTTTTCTTCCTTTTCTTTCTCTTCTTTTATTTCTTCTTCTTCTTTTTTATTCCTTTTTCCTCTTCTTTTATTCTTTTATTCCTTTACTCTCTTCTTTTTTATTCCTTTACTCTCTTCCTCTTTTCTTTTATTCCTTTTTTCTTTCCTCTTCTTTTATTCCTTTACTCCCACTTCCTCTTCTTTTATTCCTTTACTCTCTTCCTCTTCTTTTATTCCTTTACTCACTTCCTCTTCTTTTATTCCTTTAACTCTCTTCCTCTTCTTTTATTCCTTTTTCATTCCTCTTCTTTTTTTTATTCTTCCTCTTCTTTTTATTCTTCTTCCTCTTCTTTTATTCCTTTACTCTCTTCCTCCTCTTCTTTTTATTCCTTTTCTTTTATTTACTCTTTCCTTTTTTTGTTCCTTTATTCCCTTCCTCTTCTTTTATTTCTTTGTCTCTTCCTCTTCTTTTATTCCTTTACTCACTTCCTCTTCTTTTATTCCTTTACTCTCTTCCCTTCTTTTATTCCTTTAATCTCTTCCTCTTCTTTTATTCCTTTACTCTCTTCCTCTTCTTTTTATTCCTTTATTCTCTTCCTCTTCTTTTATTCCTTTTATCTTCTTTTTTTCTTTTACTTTCTTCCTTTATCTCTTCTCTTCTTTTATTCCTTTACTCTTCCTTTCTTTTATTCCTTTATTCTCTTCCTCTTTTTTTATTCCTTTACTCACTTCCTCTTCTTTTATTCCTTTAGTCTCCCTTTCTTTTTTATTCTTTTCTTCTTTTTTGTTCTTTATTTCCTCTTCTTTTATTCCTTTACTCTCTTCCTCTTCTTTTATTCCTTTACTCTCTTCCTCTTCTTTTATTCCTTCTCTTCACTTCTTACTTTTCATTCCTTCTTTTCCTTATTTTATTCCTTTACTCTTTCCTCTTCTTTTATTCCTTTACTCAATTCCTCTTCTTTTATTCCTTTACTCTTCCTTTCTTTTTTTCCTTCTTTTCTTCTTTCTTATTCCTTCACTTTTATTCCTTTTATTCCTTCCTTTAATTCTTTTATTCCTTTACTCTCTTCCTCTTTTTTTCTTCTTTATTCCTCTTTTTATTCCCTTTTATTCCTTTATTCATTTTCTTCTTCTTTTTTTTCTTTTACTCTCTTTCTCTTCTTTTATTCCTTTACTCTCTTCCTCTTCTTTTATTCCTTTATTCTCTTCCTTTCTTTTATTCCTTTTATTCTCTCTTTATTTTTTATTCCTTTCCTCTCTTCCTCTTCTTTTATTCCTTCTCTCTTTCCTCTTCTTTTTATTCCTTTACTCTCTTTCTTTTCTTTTATTTCCTTTACTCTCTTCCTCTTCTTTTATTCCTTTACTCTCTTCCTCTTCTTTTATTCCTTTTCTCTTTCCTCTTCTTTTTATTCCTTTACTCCTTTTTTCTTTTATTCCTTTACTCTCTTCCTCTTCTTTTATTCCTTTACTCTCTCTTCCTTTACTCCCTTCTTCTTTTATTCTTTTTATTTTCCTCTTCTTTTTATTTTTCTCACTTCCTTTTTTCTTTTATTCCTTTACTCACTTCCTCTTTCTTTTATTCCTTTACTCACTTCCTCTTCTTTTATTCCTTTCTCTTCCTCTTCTTTTATTCCTTTTCTTTTATTTATTCCTTTAATCACTTCCTCTTCTTTTATTCCTTTACTCTCTTCCTCTTCTTTTATTCCTTTACTCTCTTCCTCTTCTTTTATTCCTTTACTCACTTCCTCTTCTTTTATTCCTTTTACTCATTTCCTTTTCTTTTATTCCTTTACTTTCTTTTTCTTCTTTTATTCCTTTACCTTTACTTCTTCTTTCTTTTATTCCTTTACTCACTTTCTTTTTTTTATTCCTTTACTCTATTCCTCTTCTTTTTTTTTCTTTTAAGAAATTCCTCTTCTTTTATTCCTTTAAAGGGGCTCTTCTTTTATTCCTTTACTCTCTTCCTCTTCTTTTTATTTTTTAGGAATTTTCTTTTATTCCTTTCATCTTCCTCTTCTTTTATTCCTTTACTCTATTCCTCTTCTTTTATTCCTTTACTCTCTTCCTCTTCTTTTATTCCTTTACTCTCTTCCTCTTCTTTTTTCCTTCCTCTTCCTTTTTATTCATCTCTCTCTTCTTCTTTTATTCCTTTACTCTCTTCCTCTTCTTTTATTCCTTTACTCATTCCTCTTCTTTTTCCTTTACTCATTTCTCTTCTTTTATTCCTTCTCTTTCCTCTTCTTTTATTCTTCTTTTTTCTTTTATTCCTTTAAACTCTTCCTTTTCTTTTATT